GTCTGAGTCGAATTTTAATGAACTGAACCGAATTCAAACTTAAAAATCAATTCAAATTAAGTAACCACCCAATGTAGGGATAAGATCTCGTTAATTGATTAGTATAAAATATTATCTTTTTCAAGTGAGGCTAATCATTGGAGGTTTAATTTTTATGTATAATTTTTAAGTTTATCTAACATTTCAGAGTCACTATAATTTTATGAGCCTTTTTTTTTTAAATTAATGTTAGATGAATTTAAAAATTAAATTTAAATAATAGATTAGATAAATCCAATTAATTAGATAATATCTGATAAATACCGAGACAACAATGGCCAACGAAGTAAATGGTTGTAATTCTAAAGACTGGTTTTTTCTTTCTTCGACCATAACCATTCTCAACAACAACCGCAATGGCGTCTGTTTTAAGTATCGATCAAAATTAATGTTTATTTGGTTGAAAATCGTGGAGTTTTGAATTGTTCTTCTTTGAAGCAATGGAGCTAGGGCTTGTTGCGGCTATTGAGAATCGCATGGATTGCAGGGACTTTGTCCATTCTCATCGCTTTAATACCTTCGTCTTTGCTTAGTTGGTTCCGCGATTTTTTGCTGGGGTTTGCAAAGAGAGGGAAAACCCTGCAATCCTCCTCACATGTAAGTATTTCCACACTCTAACACTGACTTGTTTTGTGGAAATGTAAATAGAGTAAGACATGTACTTGCTTTAATTAATTATCAAAGAATGTATATGTTTGAGGATCTGTTTACTAGGACCTTAGAATTCCACTTAATAATTTTTTTTTTTTCAAGAAATGGGGGAGGGGCGATCAGTAGATAGTGACCCGCGTAACCATGAGGGGCTCCCCTGATGTGGAATGTTCCTTTAGTCATGGTTACAGACTCCCCGTCACCACACCACCACCGAAGCTTAAGTAGCAAGATATGGGAAACCGTGAATTGAACATTCCTTGCTAACCTCATGGGAGTCAAGGACAGTCTTAGCCTTACCACTAGACCACCAGCTCCGGTGGTCACTTAATAATCAAAACAGTGGATTAGTTCATAAAACAGTGGCCTTGGAAATGATGTTGGTGGGAGGTGGGTGCTTCTGATAACTTAAAAGAATTCAATTTAGATTTTTTTGTTGTTGTTTTAGATATAGTGTATTCATAAATTTTTTTGAATGTGTTCTATCATCTATGTAATGTTTGGGTGGAATTGATGGATTAGGGATGGGGTTTGGGATTGGGGTTATTCATTGGACTGATCTGCTTATTTACATAGAATCAATACCTTTAGTGGTTTTCATGGTTAATAGGTCTATGCATCCTCCATTTAGAGTCTGGTTTGGTCTGAATTCAGGCACGGCCTGCCGGTCTGCTGCGAGGTCCGAGAATGGCGCCAGGTGAGGGCACATAGCTTCTTCATTTTATTATTACTTATCCATCATTTTTCAATAGTTTTCACTTTATAACCTGTAGTTATGATGATGAAAAAGTTATTATGATGATGAAAAAAGTTACTATGATGACGCAAAAGATATGTTTTCTGTGTTTAAGCTTGTCCAATTGTAGTGATCAATTTGTTTAGTTATTTCTTTATCTTATTTTGAAGATGCTTCTCAAACTTGGAAGAATTCATATCTTTTTGTTTTGTTTTTTGTTAAGTATTATTCATTCTTTATTCTCTGTCTGGGTACGTAGCTTTCCCAAAAATACATCAGAGTTCACTCATTCATGATTATGGTAGCAATTGACTGTTCCTCAGAGATTCTTCTGTCATTTTTACGTGGTGGCTGTTGTGTGGACAACATTCTTGGTGGCTGCATCTTGGCTTTATGCATATAGAATGGCGCCTCTGATCTCTAAGCCGTTGATGTATTCTACTATTGCCTGCTACTTGAATGGAGGTTCACATAGCTTTCCCTTGCATAAATCTGGTTCAACAACACCAGAACATAAATACAAGCTTTGGCTTTTGGTGTTTATTCTTTTGTTAATGGAAGCCCAAGTTGTGCGTCGTCTTATTGAGACAATATGGGTATTTGATTACAGTCCATCAGCTTGTATACACATTTTCGGTTATATCACTGGTTTATTGTAAGTCTCTCTCTCTTCCTCGTTCGTTTGGTACAATTTTATCGCTATGCTGGAAATTCTGAATAGGATTTATTGCAACCTATGTAGCACGGATATTTCAAAAGGGTCAAAGTATCGGTATTGGATACTTCTTAGATACAGATACGCATTTGATACGGTCGGATACGTATTCGATTAGGAAGTATCCTAAAATTAAAAAAAATAAATTTGAATTTTGGATACACCAGGATGCGCAAGAGATACGGTGGGGGTATTACTTGATTTTTTTTAAAAGAATAGGGCACCGAAGCAAATATGTTTAGGACCTTATTTGCAAAAAAAAAATAAAAAAAATTCTAAATTCTATTCTTATTCAACACAAATCCCCACCACTTGGTCGAATATGATCAACAGACGCTGCCCCTTTTCTCTCTCTATCTCTCATCTCAGACGGCCTCTTTTTGACACAGATGACGTCTCTCCTCTCTCTTGATACTGTTGAAGTGCAGATTGACAATCGACGAGTGTCTCCTCTTACTCTCTCTCTTTGTCTATCATTGTGTAAGCCCTCTCCTCTTTCTCTTTCTCTCTCTCCACTATTATGTTTTTTACCAGTGATTAGTACTCCTCTTTTTTTATCAGTGAAGTACTTGATTTGAACTACTGTATTTGAGGTGCATTTGAACTGCTTCACTATTGAACTTGATATTATGCAATATGAATGTGAGGTAGAATGTATGATTTATGAATGATAGAATGGTTAGTTATTATTATATATCTTTGATAGATGTGTGATTCAATTTATAAATCATAATTATTACATTAAATATAAAAATAAAATTTTAAAAAAAATATATTTTATAGATGTATCCTATCGTATTCTTTTAGATTTTTTTGTATCTCTGTATTCCTATCGTATCGTATCTGTATTCCGTATTTGTATCCATATTTCATATATTGCAACCATNTCGTTTGGTACAATTTTATCGCTATGCTGGAAATTCTGAATAGGATTTATTGCAACCTATGTAGCACGGATATTTCAAAAGGGTCAAAGTATCGGTATTGGATACTTCTTAGATACAGATACGCATTTGATACGGTCGGATACGTATTCGATTAGGAAGTATCCTAAAATTAAAAAAAATAAATTTGAATTTTGGATACACCAGGATGCGCAAGAGATACGGTGGGGGTATTACTTGATTTTTTTTAAAAGAATAGGGCACCGAAGCAAATATGTTTAGGACCTTATTTGCAAAAAAAAAATAAAAAAAATTCTAAATTCTATTCTTATTCAACACAAATCCCCACCACTTGGTCGAATATGATCAACAGACGCTGCCCCTTTTCTCTCTCTATCTCTCATCTCAGACGGCCTCTTTTTGACACAGATGACGTCTCTCCTCTCTCTTGATACTGTTGAAGTGCAGATTGACAATCGACGAGTGTCTCCTCTTACTCTCTCTCTTTGTCTATCATTGTGTAAGCCCTCTCCTCTTTCTCTTTCTCTCTCTCCACTATTATGTTTTTTACCAGTGATTAGTACTCCTCTTTTTTTATCAGTGAAGTACTTGATTTGAACTACTGTATTTGAGGTGCATTTGAACTGCTTCACTATTGAACTTGATATTATGCAATATGAATGTGAGGTAGAATGTATGATTTATGAATGATAGAATGGTTAGTTATTATTATATATCTTTGATAGATGTGTGATTCAATTTATAAATCATAATTATTACATTAAATATAAAAATAAAATTTTTAAAAAAATATATTTTATAGATGTATCCTATCGTATTCTTTTAGATTTTGTTGTATCTCTGTATTCCTATCGTATCGTATCTGTATTCCGTATTTGTATCCATATTTCATATATTGCAACCACAAAGAATATTTGATAATCAATTGTTTACCATTCTAGTACCTATCGGTCCTATTCTGTTGCTATAGTATCGCATAAACTACTATGTAATGATATATTACTATTAGTCATCTGGATGGTCGCACCTTGCTGGTAGAGCTAAGGCAGCATATATTAGCGTTACTTGGCACACAATCATGACTTTTGAATCTGGATGCCTTTGATGTGGGACCAATAGGCAGGCTCTCTTTTAATTGTTTTTTCTGTTTTACATTTTCATGACAAGAAAGCTATGTATCTTGAGATTAATGATGTCGTTGTCTCCTGTTAAATGGTCTCTTAGCATTGCTTGATTGTTGCCAAGTAGGACAACTATGATATTTTATATGTAGACCGAATGTTTAGACGCGTCAATTGCTTTTAAATGTAATGCGACCATCTGTACATTTTGATTGTGCGTTCTAAATTTAGTGAAAAACTAAATTGTCAAATTTGTTGTGAAAGCACATGCATCGAAACACTATTTCATGCATTTCAAAGTACTGAGCCTATCGATAACTGTAACTTTTGAAATGGGTGACACCAGTCATAAAATGGAAATATAATCTCATCTAGCACACAAATAATATCCTTAACAATTCGACTGTATTTTAACTGGGAATCATGATTATGATGACTCGTATATAAATTAATCACTAACCCGCTAATTAGCTCGTCAATTATGATTCTATATAACTAAGAGTTATTTTTAAAAATTTTAAATAAATAAATAGACTTCAATTATGATTTCTTTATGTTAAAATAAATCAAATAAATATAATATAGATCATATTTTGAGTAAAAATAAAGATGTTATGGTATTTAAATATAAAATAGATGGATAACATATGGGATATATGAGGGACACTTGTTTTTGAAAAAAAAAAAGAGAGACCACAAGAATAGACATGTGACTGAAAAGAAAAAAAAAAAATTATTATGAACAAAATATGGACAACTGTCCATAATGATGCAAGCTCCTCATGTCACCATGTGACATTGGGGGAGNATATCTGATAAATACCGAGACAACAATGGCCAACGAAGTAAATGGTTGTAATTCTAAAGACTGGTTTTTTCTTTCTTCGACCATAACCATTCTCAACAACAACCGCAATGGCGTCTGTTTTAAGTATCGATCAAAATTAATGTTTATTTGGTTGAAAATCGTGGAGTTTTGAATTGTTCTTCTTTGAAGCAATGGAGCTAGGGCTTGTTGCGGCTATTGAGAATCGCATGGATTGCAGGGACTTTGTCCATTCTCATCGCTTTAATACCTTCGTCTTTGCTTAGTTGGTTCCGCGATTTTTTGCTGGGGTTTGCAAAGAGAGGGAAAACCCTGCAATCCTCCTCACATGTAAGTATTTCCACACTCTAACACTGACTTGTTTTGTGGAAATGTAAATAGAGTAAGACATGTACTTGCTTTAATTAATTATCAAAGAATGTATATGTTTGAGGATCTGTTTACTAGGACCTTAGAATTCCACTTAATAATTTTTTTTTTTTCAAGAAATGGGGGAGGGGCGATCAGTAGATAGTGACCCGCGTAACCATGAGGGGCTCCCCTGATGTGGAATGTTCCTTTAGTCATGGTTACAGACTCCCCGTCACCACACCACCACCGAAGCTTAAGTAGCAAGATATGGGAAACCGTGAATTGAACATTCCTTGCTAACCTCATGGGAGTCAAGGACAGTCTTAGCCTTACCACTAGACCACCAGCTCCGGTGGTCACTTAATAATCAAAACAGTGGATTAGTTCATAAAACAGTGGCCTTGGAAATGATGTTGGTGGGAGGTGGGTGCTTCTGATAACTTAAAAGAATTCAATTTAGATTTTTTTGTTGTTGTTTTAGATATAGTGTATTCATAAATTTTTTTGAATGTGTTCTATCATCTATGTAATGTTTGGGTGGAATTGATGGATTAGGGATGGGGTTTGGGATTGGGGTTATTCATTGGACTGATCTGCTTATTTACATAGAATCAATACCTTTAGTGGTTTTCATGGTTAATAGGTCTATGCATCCTCCATTTAGAGTCTGGTTTGGTCTGAATTCAGGCACGGCCTGCCGGTCTGCTGCGAGGTCCGAGAATGGCGCCAGGTGAGGGCACATAGCTTCTTCATTTTATTATTACTTATCCATCATTTTTCAATAGTTTTCACTTTATAACCTGTAGTTATGATGATGAAAAAGTTATTATGATGATGAAAAAAGTTACTATGATGACGCAAAAGATATGTTTTCTGTGTTTAAGCTTGTCCAATTGTAGTGATCAATTTGTTTAGTTATTTCTTTATCTTATTTTGAAGATGCTTCTCAAACTTGGAAGAATTCATATCTTTTTGTTTTGTTTTTTGTTAAGTATTATTCATTCTTTATTCTCTGTCTGGGTACGTAGCTTTCCCAAAAATACATCAGAGTTCACTCATTCATGATTATGGTAGCAATTGACTGTTCCTCAGAGATTCTTCTGTCATTTTTACGTGGTGGCTGTTGTGTGGACAACATTCTTGGTGGCTGCATCTTGGCTTTATGCATATAGAATGGCGCCTCTGATCTCTAAGCCGTTGATGTATTCTACTATTGCCTGCTACTTGAATGGAGGTTCACATAGCTTTCCCTTGCATAAATCTGGTTCAACAACACCAGAACATAAATACAAGCTTTGGCTTTTGGTGTTTCTTCTTTTGTTAATGGAAGCCCAAGTTGTGCGTCGTCTTATTGAGACAATATGGGTATTTGATTACAGTCCATCAGCTTGTATACACATTTTCGGTTATATCACTGGTTTATTGTAAGTCTCTCTCTCTTCCTCGTTCGTTTGGTACAATTTTATCGCTATGCTGGAAATTCTGAATAGGATTTATTGCAACCTATGTAGCACGGATATTTCAAAAGGGTCAAAGTATCGGTATTGGATACTTCGTAGATACAGATACGCATTTGATACGGTCGGATACGTATTCGATTAGGAAGTATACTAAAATTAAAAAAAATAAATTTGAATTTTGGATACACCAGGATGCGCAAGAGATACGGTGGGGGTATTACTTGATTTTTTTTAAAAGAATAGGGCACCGAAGCAAATATGTTTAGGACCTTATTTGCAAAAAAAAAAAAAAAAAAATTCTAAATTCTATTCTTATTCAACACAAATCCCCACCACTTGGTCGAATATGATCAACAGACGCTGCCCCTTTTCTCTCTCTATCTCTCATCTCAGACGGCCTCTTTTTGACACAGATGACGTCTCTCCTCTCTCTTGATACTGTTGAAGTGCAGATTGACAATCGACGAGTGTCTCCTCTTACTCTCTCTCTTTGTCTATCATTGTGTAAGCCCTCTCCTCTTTCTCTTTCTCTCTCTCCACTATTATGTTTTTTACCAGTGATTAGTACTCCTCTTTTTTTATCAGTGAAGTACTTGATTTGAACTACTGTATTTGAGGTGCATTTGAACTGCTTCACTACTGAACTTGATATTATGCAATATGAATGTGAGGTAGAATGTATGATTTATGAATGATAGAATGGTTAGTTATTATTATATATCTTTGATAGATGTGTGATTCAATTTATAAATCATAATTATTACATTAAATATAAAAATAAAATTTTAAAAAAAATATATTTTATAGATGTATCCTATCGTATTCTTTTAGATTTTGTTGTATCTCTGTATTCCTATCGTATCGTATCTGTATTCCGTATTTGTATCCATATTTCATATATTGCAACCACAAAGAATATTTGATAATCAATTGTTTACCATTCTAGTACCTATCGGTCCTATTCTGTTGCTATAGTATCGCATAAACTACTATGTAATGATATATTACTATTAGTCATCTGGATGGTCGCACCTTGCTGGTAGAGCTAAGGCAGCATATATTAGCGTTACTTGGCACACAATCATGACTTTTGAATCTGGATGCCTTTGATGTGGGACCAATAGGCAGGCTCTCTTTTAATTGTTTTTTCTGTTTTACATTTTCATGACAAGAAAGCTATGTATCTTGAGATTAATGATGTCGTTGTCTCCTGTTAAATGGTCTCTTAGCATTGCTTGATTGTTGCCAAGTAGGACAACTATGATATTTTATATGTAGACCGAATGTTTAGACGCGTCAATTGCTTTTAAATGTAATGCGACCATCTGTACATTTTGATTGTGCGTTCTAAATTTAGTGAAAAACTAAATTGTCAAATTTGTTGTGAAAGCACATGCATCGAAACACTATTTCATGCATTTCAAAGTACTGAGCCTATCGATAACTGTAACTTTTGAAATGGGTGACACCAGTCATAAAATGGAAATATAATCTCATCTAGCACACAAATAATATCCTTAACAATTCGACTGTATTTTAACTGGGAATCATGATTATGATGACTCGTATATAAATTAATCACTAACCCGCTAATTAGCTCGTCAATTATGATTCTATATAACTAAGAGTTATTTTTAAAAATTTTAAATAAATAAATAGACTTCAATTATGATTTCTTTATGTTAAAACAAATCAAATAAATATAATATAGGTCATATTTTGAGTAAAAATAAAGATGTTATGGTATTTAAATATAAAATAGATGGATAACATATGGGATATATGAGGGACACTTGTTTTTTGAAAAAAAAAAGAGAGACCACAAGAATAGACATGTGACTGAAAAGAAAAAAAAAAAATTATTATGAACAAAATATGGACAACTGTCCATAATGATGCAAGCTCCTCATGTCACCATGTGACATTGGGGGAGGAGTTTTGGCTATAAATAGCCATGAAGCCAGGGCCAAAACGCAAAACAAGGTGGAGAGAGAAAGAGAGAGATAGAATAGAATAGAAGAAAAAAATACATGAGATCTTGAGGTCAAAAATTAAGCAGTGATTTTATTTTAGATTGCTATCAAATTTGACTATTTTGTTCATGATAATTCGAATTTCACATCTGTTAAAGTCATTGATGGTTTTGAGGTACGGGGTAGTATACAATATACTCCTGTCTTTTAAATCTCTTTGCAAAGAGTGTCATTTGATTATCTGAAATTTGTATTCATATTAATTATTCTGATTGATACAAAATTATGATATTTTTATCTGTTGACTTGTATTTTGGGCTAAATACTTTGGGATTTATTAGTGTATGTACGAAGTGTACTTGGAGCATAATTGGTGAAATGTGATTATGACCCCTGCGGGGTGCGATTGTTATTATAGCCCTGCGTAGTGGGATTAATTATTACGAGTATGAATTTATATGCTCAAGTATCACTTGTCATGTCACAAAGAATAACTGAGTATGAGACTATGTTTGATAGCAGTTGAGCCATGTGGCCTGTCAAATGTGATTCTTAATTTTGTTATCCATGATCCTTATCATCTGAATTAATTTGTATTTGGTCATTCATATTTTTCTCGTTGAGCATATTATTTCCTGTCATATTGTATACTTCCCTATTTTTAATATTTTTTTTTTCAGGATAATCTCAGAGAGAATGGCTAAAGTTGATATTTGAGGAATTGAAAATGGATGAATTTTGATATAATTTTTAATTTTTTATTGGTATTTGGAGATCAAAATTGTGATTATAAATTTATTGAAATGATTAGAGCTCTATCCCTGTATTAATACAGGTATTTGTGGTTTATTGTGATTGATTGATTTAATCAAGTAATGCGTTTTGGAAACGGGGCGTGACAGCAATGAGAAGTACCATAATGTTTAGCCTTCTTCTTTCCCTTGATGATGCTGTAAATTTTTCTGCACTAGAGAATGTTTTACTGACTCAGCTATCTTTCTTAGAGTAGTTTCTACACAGCAGCTCCACTCTCACTTTGCTCTACTTTTGCACCTGATGTGTTCAAATTCACAGCAAATCTGGTTATGGAGTTGATTGCTAAAGGAAATAACCAGATGCCAGTCCCTGAATTTGATTTGTTGGAATTAATTAATCCTCTCATGAGACTTAGATGCTATGCATGGATCTGTGCGGCTATATTTTTATGCTTTGTTTGATTTAGATGTCAACTCATTATCATTTCCCTTCTTGACCAATTAAATAGATGAAGTTGAAATCAGTATTGGTGGATAACTATTAATCCGCCAAGCACTCATAGCATAGATCATTTAACGAGCATTCTAGAAAAGTGTGATATTACTACCAGAAAGCATGACTTAGTGAACCTGTTTATACTTGAACTGCAGATTGTGGTGTTGAACAAATATGTAATACAATGTTTGATTGACTTGCCTTTTTTCTTTTTGTTGGACAGAAATGCAGAATGGTGTTGATGGACATGCTTACCATTATGTTGGACAAAAATGCTGAAAATATTTCCATTCAAGTTTTTAGTTCAAAGTTCNGGGGGGGGGGGGGGGGGGGGGGGGAGTTTTCCAGAATCCTACTATTAATAAAAGGTGTTTATGCCAGGTTCTTTAATTTTTAAACTTATGCAGTGATTTTTATCTTGTGCTGTGGTGTCTATACCATCATTTCCTATCTGTCAGAGACTCCAAAGTTTATAGATATTTTGGTCTGCAAGACACGACGTCATCCTTAGATTTCAGGTGGAAGGACTGGAATAGCTTGATTGTGTAATGATGATAAACTCATTTGAACAGGAAGGAGTGAATGAGTTGAATACACTTCAGTTGGCATACGATACAGTGATTATAGTTCTATGGTCATTTGCAGCAATCTCCTGTATCATATGCCACATCTTACTGTCGTTATTGAACATTTAGGATGTCACTTGAATATCTTGTACCTTGTACCCTGTCAAATATAAAATCTCCGACCTTTTGACCAGGGATCGTTGCGAAAGAGTAGAGAACTTGTTGAAGACTATGCAATTCCTCATGGTGATTGGTTTGAATATGTTACATCTCCTATTCTCAAAAAAAAAAAAAAAATATGTTACTTCTCCACGTTACTTGGCTGAGATTGTTAGTCTCTCTCCCTCCCTCTCTCTCTCTCTCTCATATGTAATCCCTGTCAGCTTCCTTTACTTTGAGAATAACTCTGGATCTGAGCATGGCAGAGTAGTAGATGAAATGTGTTCATTACATGTGTTGACAAAATAGTAAATGAAATCTGCTCATTAAGTGTACACCACTGAAATCAAAGGGAATTTTGTCATTTTGAATTACATTTTTCGCAAAGCAGTTTCATTTTAATGGTCTCATTTGCTTCTTTGCTGGTGATGAAGGTTATATATGTTGGTCTTATGGTGGCTAGTGGAGGTTCAGATCTCACAATCTGGTTACTTCTTGGATTTGTTGCGAGTCTTCATCCCCTTTTTCAGTAATGTTGCATAGTCAGTGCTTCATTTTGTCATGCCTTTCTTCTACAGCAATCCTGAAGTTTTTGCCCAATGATTGGCAGATCGCAAATCTTGTATTTGCAGCAGCAGAAACACAGAGGTGTGGTACTTTAGGAACTTCGATAATTTTCCTCCCAACCGATTTGCCATTATTCCATCTGTTTATTAATTCTTCCGGAAAAAACATGAACATATTGAACATGTTATATACCAAATGTAATTATCGTGTCGTGGTTTAATGGAAAAATAGTCATTAATATGTTTCTAGAGATCACAATAGATTTATAATCGGAATGTCAACCTCCCTTTGCTCGACATGAGTTAACATATTTTTTAAAAGGGTTGTTTTTTGTCTGAATGTTTTTTTTTCNGTTTCTAGAGATCACAATAGATTTATAATCGGAATGTCAACCTCCCTTTGCTCGACATGAGTTAACATATTTTTAAAAGGGTTGTTTTTTGTCTGAATATTTTTTTTTTNATGTTATATACCAAATGTAATTATCGTGTCGTGGTTTAATGGAAAAATAGTCATTAATATGTTTCTAGAGATCACAATAGATTTATAATCGGAATGTCAACCTCCCTTTGCTCGACATGAGTTAACATATTTTTAAAAGGGTTGTTTTTTGTCTGAATGTTTTTTTTTTCATGCTCTTAAAGATATTTGTATAGGTAGTATGGATCGAGGAAATTTGTACCGTTGCACTTTTAGTATTCTAGTGACTGTGACGTGGTAATATAATAATTAAAAATTTGGAGTATATACATAGAATGGTGGAGTTATACTTGGAAATTTATATATGACAACATGAGTTGGAGNAAAGAGTAGAGAACTTGTTGAAGACTATGCAATTCCTCATGGTGATTGGTTTGAATATGTTACATCTCCTATTCTCAAAAAAAAAATAAAAAATATGTTACATCTCCACGTTACTTGGCTGAGATTGTTAGTCTCTCTCCCTCCCTCTCTCTCTCTCTCTCATATGTAATCCCTGTCAGCTTCCTTTACTTTGAGAATAACTCTGGATCTGAGCATGGCAGAGTAGTAGATGAAATGTGTTCATTACATGTGTTGACAAAATAGTAAATGAAATCTGCTCATTAAGTGTACACCAATGAAATCAAAGGGAATTTTGTCATTTTGAATTACATTTTTCGCAAAGCAGTTTCATTTTAATGGTCTCATTTGCTTCTTTGCTGGTGATGAAGGTTATATATGTTGGTCTTATGGTGGCTAGTGGAGGTTCAGATCTCACAATCTGGTTACTTCTTGGATTTGTTGCGAGTCTTCATCCCCTTTTTCAGTAATGTTGCATAGTCAGTGCTTCATTTTGTCATGCCTTTCTTCTACAGCAATCCTGAAGTTTTTGCCCAATGATTGGCAGATCGCAAATCTTGTATTTGCAGCAGCAGAAACACAGAGGTGTGGTACTTTAGGAACTTCGATAATTTTCCTCCCAACCGATTTGCCATTATTCCATCTGTTTATTAATTCTTCCGGAAAAAACATGAACATATTGAACATGTTATATACCAAATGTAATTATCGTGTCGTGGTTTAATGGAAAAATAGTCATTAATATGTTTCTAGAGATCACAATAGATTTATAATCGGAATGTCAACCTCCCTTTGCTCGACATGAGTTAACATATTTTTTAAAAGGGTTGTTTTTTGTCTGAATGTTTTTTTTTCCATGCTCTTAAAGATATTTGTATAGGTAGTATGGATCGAGGAAATTTGTACCGTTGCACTTTTAGTATTCTAGTGACTGTGACGTGGTAATATAATAATTAAAAATTTGGAGTATATACATAGAATGGTGGAGTTATACTTGGAAATTTATATATGACAACATGAGTTGGAGAGTAATTCCTTAAGAGAAAAGACAAAAATCCCAAGAATTTCCACCAAAAAAAAAAGAAAGTAAATTATATTTTGACCCCCTAAATTATGGACTTAATTTTACTCTGCTCATTGAACTATCGATTTTTTTGCATTCCCTCCTTAACTATATTGATTATATCATATTTTTTTAATCACAAATGTTCGTTATCTTTTTGACTGAAAATTGTTGACATGTCACGANGTAAATTATATTTTGACCCCCTAAATTATGGACTTAATTTTACTCTGCTCATTGAACTATCGATTTTTTTGCATTCCCTCCTTAACTACATTGATTATATCATATTTTTTTAATCACAAACGTTCGTTATCTTTTTGACTGAAAATTGTTGACATGTCACGATAAAGTGAAAAAAATTGTTTAGTTTAGGGGTAAAAATAAATATTTTTTAATTAAATATATAATGGATGTTAATATTTGGGGCAGTATGAAACTAATCATATAGTTAAGGATGTAATATGAAAAATATTATAGATGAGGGAATAAATTAAAAAAAAATGTTTTATAGTTAAGAGGGTCAAAATATAATTTTTCCAAAAAAAAAAAAAAAAANAATGAAAAATATTATAGATGAGGGAATAAATTAAAAAAAAATGTTTTATAGTTAAGAGGGTCAAAATATAATTTTTCCAAAAAAAAAAAAGTCCATGATAGACTCTCGTTTTAAGTTCTGACTACGAGAGAGAACTTATACTCGGCTTTAATTCCATTGGGCCATAGGAGAGGTTGGAGGGCCTGCTATGTAACGGGCCAAGCTGAGAACGGCAGTGAACTTGCGCGAACTCGTCTTGGTTTTTCGGCCCATTTTGCAATTGTTTCCTAAGCCAGAGTATAGAAAAGCAATTGATTTGCTTCTAAGTTCTAACCAATCTACACAGGAGGAGAGAGAGATAGAGAGAGAGAGTTGAAATCCCACGCCCAAACTCTCTCTGTTCAGACCAAGAGAAAAAAAGTCTCAGATCTGATCAAATTTTCCTATCAAAGTAAGCAAATCAAACAATGTCTTCAGCATTCAGCGGCGATGAAACTGCTCCCTTCTTTNCAAGCTGAGAACGGCAGTGAACTTGCGCGAACTCGTCTTGGTTTTTCGGCCCATTTTGCAATTGTTTCCTAAGCCAGAGTATAGAAAAGCAATTGATTTGCTTCTAAGTTCTAACCAATCTACACAGGAGGAGAGAGAGATAGAGAGAGAGTTGAGATCCCACGCCCAAACTCTCTCTGTTCAGACCAAGAGAAAAAAAGTCTCAGATCTGATCAAATTTTCCTATCAAAATAAGCAAATCAAACAATGTCTTCAGCATTCAGCGGCGATGAAACTGCTCCCTTCTTCNTTGCAGCACTGACTATACCGGTACATGTAGTTGAGGTAGAACTAATGGAGTAATGATGATAGACGGAAGAGAAGAACCTAAGTTTTATAAAGTAGCACAAATTCAGGAAGAATCAATGTTCTAGATCCGATATGTGACGATTTAGTATTTTTTTTCCCAGTCTCATCTAATCAAAAAGAAAAAATATTTGAATAAGATATGTACTTGCTTGTGAAAGAAAAAAATGGTTCTAATTTTGTTTAGTATTTTGGCTCTAAATTCCTTGACTCCTTGATACTCAATCAATTCTTCTTCTTTTTTTTGACAATTGAAGAAGTAAGCTATTTTGGCGACAATAATGAGACGAATGAGAAACAAAAGAGAAGATAGATGATTGAAATAGTTGTGGAATATGTGAATCTAGTAATACATGAACTTTTCTTGCAAGCATTTTGTGAATAAACTTGGAATACGTGGATCTAGGAATGTTTAAACATTTATTTGTCCGTTATGTTGTTATATATATTATTTCAATGCCACTTTATTGGCCTATTTTGGCATTATACATTATTTACTTTGATTTTCTGCTACACTTCTCTCTATGTGTCCCCCCCCCCCCCTCTTCTCCCCTTTCTTTTCATATACGAGTCTTTGACATTCTGTGTGTCGGCCTTCTACTAAATGGTGTTGTTTGGAAGGCACACCAAGAATTGGTTAACGACTTGACCAATAGTGTAAGTTTCTTCTCTCTTATCCTTACCTCCTCCCTCGTTTAATACTTCACGTTTTCTTGTGCTTCCTGTCCTTGCTTCCAATGTTCTCTCTCTTATGAAACAAACTTTTAATGTTTATGTGTTAGGATTTTGTGGTATTCGGTGGTCATGCTACTATTATTAATCATAGCTTCTAGGAGGAAGTAAGATGAAAGTTTGTGACTGTTTGAATGATGGAGTTGTGCTTCTGTGGGGAATGGATAGGAGAAGTGACCATAACACCTTGTTGAGTTCTAATACAAACTGATAATCAAGAAAGGAAGAAGAGGAGGAAGGAAGAAAAAAGAAAAGAAAAGAGGGAGTATATGGCTGAAAAGAGAGTGTAAGTAGGGTTTTCCATTGTATTTCATTTTGTGTTTTAAGTGCAATATGAAGACATAAATGCCCTATAATATTTAATATATTCCAACACTTCCATGCTGGTGCAAAATTGTCATTCATGCCCAACTTGCTTAGAGTATTATGGAAGTTATTGCTTGGACTTCCATTTGTTCAGATGTTTGCAAATTAATATGCTTAATCGGATCACGTTGAACAAGGTTATGAGCAATATTGGTTCTCATTTTGTTGTCATAATGCAGTTTCCCAGATGTAGACCTCCGATCAATAATTTAGCTGCCCCATTTGTGTGTTTTATGATGTCACTCGCAGTTGATCATGTCTTAAAAATAGCAACCCCTTGCAGAAAGACTTCAAACAACGAAGGATTTAATAAACTGCCTAAATAAAAAAATATTTTCCAGTCAATCGTTTATATTCTGCAGTCAATCAAAACACATTCAGTTTCTTCTCCTAATTTGTGATTTTGCTCTGCTAGATTTTGTGCGCGTTAAACAAAATCCAATCTGTTTGCCCCTGAATGACTATTTTGTTTTGCAGAGCTAATGCACAGCAGCCAAAACTATTCGTGGGAATGATCCTCATTCTCATCTTTGCTGAAGCTCTTGCCTTGTATGGCCTTATTGTTGGCATCATCTTGTCTTCACGAGCTGGCCAGTCCAGAGCAGAGTAAAGATGTGCTGTTTACTAGGTTTTTCTTTGTATTCAGTTATGTTATCTGCTGGGAGAAAACCCTAAAGGAATGCTGGAAAATATTGTATTCTTGGCGGGGTAAAACAGTCCTTTAAGGTTTTCCTTGTACTTCCCACGAAACTAATTACCCGTGAACATTGATTTTATGATGGTCAGTGCTGTGTTTGTAGAGAGTAGGATTGAGTTTGTGACAATAAAAAGCTTGTAAAGCTATCTATTGGGCTCTTATCGATGATGTATTTTGCAGTCATTACTTTAAATGTTGCTATCCTGGAGTTATCATGATGTTTTGTATACATTTTCAGTGGGTAATTTGAGTTGCAATGATAAGAATGTAATGTATGTGTGTAACCACTTTGTTAGATAAATTTCCAGTCTCTTTCTTTTAAGAGAATTCTTCTGGTGGTTATGCCATTATTCAGTCCAAATTCTCTTTATCTTGCTTTAAAACATATAATAGGTAATTGATCTGGGAACATCTTAGAAGAATGTTGTTCTGAATGGGCATCTACCATTGTGAGTAGCTTGTTTTGATAAGTGATTCTTTTACTTCTTTATAAAGTATTAATGACTCACTTAAACTTGTTTTCTGGATATCCTAACCTGTAAAATCATCCCCCCCCCCCCNCCCCCCCCCCCCCCCCCTCTTTTCTCTTCTTTCTTTAAAAAAATAAAAAACCTCCTTTGTGGGGTTGAGGGGCATCTCTTGGGTATATATCCAACTTCTCTTTGTTCCACGCACTCAGACTCTTAAGATCTTTACTTGTATTGGACCGCACAAGTAGATAGAAATATTCATGGGTATCTGGGAGAGTCAATTGATCTTTTCTAGAATTCCTTTCAAGCATACGGACTCTATGCTACTTGAGTTTAGTGAATGGATTTCATTGTAGATTTGGATGAATGCGCTTAGGAAATAATAGTGGTAAGATTTTGCTGCTTTCTTCTGGAATGGATTGGCATGTTTCTAAGATGATTCTAAATGCTTTTCTCGTGTTAGACATCAATCACATAGCGGATTTCTATATGAAGATTCAAACAAAAAGAAAAGAACAATCTCTTACAGGATTTCACTTTTGTTTGTGTTTGTGTAGAGCAGTTATTAGTAACCTTGTTTTATCTTTACATTGTTGTGTTATGTGGCCGTCTCAAACTTTACTGTTACCCAACAGACAGAAAAATAGAGATTGTGCAGGTAGCTTTTGAAACAGGAGGTGGGTCATTTCGATTTTGTCTGCATTATCTTCTGAGAAATGTGCTTACATTTTGAACTAAAGATTTGGTGTCAATGGCTTGTGTGTTTTTGAGTGGTGGAATGGCTCTTCTTATTGCTTGAATGATCATGTAAATGAGGATATGACTACCTACCATTTACCTTTTTCAGTAATAACCAACCTTGTTTACATATTATCCAAAATTATGTCCCAAGGTTCTTTTTTTTTTTTGGTAAAATATGTCCCAAGTTTTTCACATTGTATCGTACTTTAGCTTTGTATGCCTTCTTCAGTAATGCTAGGGATTCCAAATTCGGGATCCAAAGTATTTTCTTCTCTTAATTTTGTGTGTAAACTTACTGCAGCAATTTTCAAATTGCCATTCTATAGCATTGTGCAATTTTAGCCACTATATGAGTAATATGGATGGAAATGAATTCAAGAATATTTGAGGGTAAATGAGAGTGGAAGGAAAAGTTTATGGGATCACATTTATTTTTTTTGTGTCATCGGGGGCTTTTGTTTTCAAGGAGTTTGATGACATTTTACTTTTTTGTATCATGGCATATTGGAGAGTCTCATGTAATACATAGTTTTTTATGAGCTGAGATTTGTTTTGTTTTTTTCATAGATGGATTCTTATCCATTTGTATTTTCTTCTATGTTTTGTTTAAATTATTTATAAACTAATAAAGTTTTCATGTTTCCAAATTTTTTTAAAAAAATTGCTGCACCTATTTTGGTGCTAGTTTGTAGAGATTTGGTCCCTCAATTACGCTTCGATCGTGACTCAATGGACAAGCACAATCTTGCAACTTATACCTATTATTTAATGTTGCAATATTGGTGGGTTAAGCCCCTATTTTTCCTAATAAAACACAGTTGGCCTAAAATTTCAATTTCTTATTGGATAGACAATTAACAACAGTCACATTCTGATTCATCATTAGAGTAATTTTGGTGTTACAACAGCTTCATTCTAGGTTTTTAAAATGTCAAAATTTAATACGATGATATTGAGTGAAACTCTTAACCTATAAAATATAAATAATAAAATATAAATAATATGAAGAAAATTTCTTGTATTTCTTTATTATATAATAATCTCTACGATTGTATTAATCTTTCTACAATTGGACAATTATAGGATTGTTTAAAATTTTATTACATCATTTAAAAAAACAAATTAATTAATTCATTTTGGGATGCATGGACTTCACTGATCCCGCACCCACCTCCGTTTCATTACTCTATAAATTTGAGCTCTCTGAACGTTTACTCTGTCACTCCTCTCTCGCTCGCTCTATTTATTCTCCCTGTCTCTCTCTCCTACTAATTCTTCGCCCGTTCCCCCGCCGCTCGTCCTTTGGCGGTCCGGTCTCTGGAGTATCGTCGCCACCAGCAACACCTGATCGTCAATTGCACCATCGCTTCGCACCATACCAGTGGCTTCATAAACAGAACACCAAGAAGACCCAAAGCCCTGGTGATCCAGCAACCTCTCTCTCTGTCTCTCTAATAGAAAACCCTAACTCTAAACATGGCCTTAAGTTTTTATTAATGTTCTCTTTCACTGTCAGACAGAACCACCCTATCAGTAGAAACCCTAACCTATTTTTTTTATTACTAATTTTGCAGCAATTGCTTACTGTATTGCCCGATCATAGTTCGTCTTGATCCGAAATTCGTCTTCAGGTGATCCTTTGTGACTCACCCTCCCTCGAAAGTTGTATATGCAAAAATGAAGTCCAAGACTCTTGTTGATCTTATTTGTGTGAACTTGTGTTTTTGTTCAATTTTTTTTTATGGATTTGGTTGGTGCTAGATGTGTTCTTGCTTTTTAGTTGATTCTGGTATATACTTTTTTTTCTGAGACTTTGCAATTTTCACGTTTTTGTGTGTGGTAAAATCCAGTCGGTTCCATTGTGTGGTTTCTGGTTTTATGAAAATTGAAATTAGACTCTTCTCTTGAAAAGAACACGCAAAAGTTTCATGTCTTGCCTGGATGGTAATTGCAGGACTCAAATCCTCTAAGATCAATTATCGTTCCTGGTAACCTTTATAAGACCTTCTGTGTCAACTTAATGCTTAGAGCCGTAGAGATCAAATAAAACAGAAAAGCAGAAAGCTCTTTGTTCTAATACACTTTGACATCCTTCTTGCCAAAAGCTATGTCTATTCTTCTGATTGTTCGATCTATGATCCACTCCACCACACTGCTTCGAAAAAAATTGGCCTGATAAATTTTTTAATACTTCATATACTTCCAGGGATAAGTACAGTCTCTTAGGCTTATATCAGTTCCTTGTGAGATTGGAGTTCCTGATTGTTGTTTGCTACTCAATTTAAAAGTTAAGTAATCCCTTGCAGGTCACCTATTACTTTCATAATTGGTATACCCATGCAGTTTCCTACTTCATATGTGTCACCCTAGGTAATCCCTTCCCAGTGATCTCTACTGCATTAAATCTGCATCCATGCTAGCTTCTTTGTCAATTCAGATATTCTAGGGATTGCATTCGAGCGCAAGTCATTGATCCTTGAGGTCCTAATCTCATATTCCATTCTATTATGGGGGACAAGCAAGAAGTTTCTTTGCTTTGCAACATATGGTTTGGTGGTCATTCCCTGTTAGTTTAGTAAGTCCTCAAAATTTTTTTATATTCTCTCTTTCCTAAAGGTAAGAATGGATAAGGAAAGCTAAGACTATCTGAGGTAGCTGTCCTTTTTTCTTGTAGTTGTGATGTAGCTAGTTTTTTATACCTGCCCTTCTGTNAAAAAAAAAAAATTACATGACAGATTTGTTTATACACCAATTATGTCATTCATATATGATACGAATTTCGATACGATATAATTCATTAAACATAAATTAAAAAATGAATTAAATATAAGTAGAGTATTTTTTTACATATACTCACTAGGACACACGTTGATAGGCCTGGTATAAATCCAATAGATACGTGACAAAATTTCAGGACTTTGTATTGGGTAAGGGATTATGATTTAATGATAAAAAAATTTTAGAAATTTTTTATAAACTGCCCAGATTAATTTCATACTCTATTAGTTCACATTAAAAATATTATTTATATGTAAAGGATATATAAAATATATATTAATGGATATGAAGTATAAAAATTAAATATAGGATCGCAAAATGACAAAGTTAGGAATATAGATTAATCGTTATATATTACTTTGAATTATGTAGTGATTGCATTGAGGTTGAAAAATAGGGGTTTGAATTGAATTTTGAGAATTAAGGTGAGTAATTTACTACTTCTTTTAAGAGGATTTTTTATATTCAATGTGTGGATGCGTGCGTGAAGATTTTTCATATATATGATATATGTGTTGATGTTTGAGGTTGCAATTAAATATTTTAAAATTGTAAATTGTTCTACATGTGAATTTTAAAAAACTTGTGGGATGATTTTATATCATTACTTTGATGATGGAAGAAAAATTTTGTACGTGTTAAGACTAAAACTACAGTTTTTGTATGTTTGAAAATCATGTTTATGAGACGTAGACTGAGCTTATTAGGTCTAAATGATAACAAACGACTAGGGCAGTCATTAGACTAATGATGACAAGAGACTAAGCCAGTTATCAGACTAGTGGTAATAAGAGACGGGGTCACTCATCATGCTAGTGATGACAAGTGAGTAGGCCAGTTATCAGGCTAGTAANTAGAAACCAAATTTGTTTTTCCATTTTTTATTTTCACAACAAAAAAAAATCAGAACCATGTTCCTTTTTTTAAACTGAAAACAAATGTCATCTACATAGTTCATTTGGCTCTAATCTTCCATCCCTTCAGCTCGGCAGTAAAAGTAGGTACTCTTGACTTATTTTTCGATCTGAAAATTTCTGCCATAACTGTATTTACACCTAAACTATTTCTGTGGAACTTCTCACTTCTATTGTGGTTTTATTATGCTTTTTTTTATTTGTTATTTGTCGGTGAAATTTAATGAAATTAGGTGGTGTTATTATATATGTTTAATTTCTATTTTCTTCTCCCAATAGGAAGCTGAGACAGTTGGTTTTGCTCGGAGATATTCCCAACTGTTTAAAAACATGGTATGGGTCATGATTATGGCTTTTAATTTTTTGGGCAGTTATTTTTGTTTGTAATTCCATATTTTCTAGACTGCTGAATCTTATGTGTGTCTTTTGTTCTTTTGTAAGTTACCTTTTTGATAATTCTGTACTTACCGATGAGTTTTATATTGTGTTACTTGATTCGGAATGTATGGATAAAATGACAGTAGATTAAAAATGCATAGGTTGTAAATTGCTATGGTTATTGAGTTGAATTGCAACTTCTTTTCCAGTCGTGGTTGAGTTTTTAGTGGTTTTAATCCTACATTAGCACATTTTACTGTGAAATTATTGATTGATGGTGTTGTTTTGTAGTCTCATCTATCCAATATATTCTTGAAGTCTGTGGGCTATATTATATACTCATCATTTTTTCATGCTTCGTACTAGTTTTTGCACCGTCATTTTTTACTTTATTTGCTATGATATTGCAGTTTTTCGATGGATATGGATATNCATTTTTTCATGCTTCGTACTAGTTTTTGCACCGTCATTTTTTACTTTATTTGCTATGATATTGCAGTTTTTCGATGGATATGGATATCATGGAACATCATTTGAGCAAACGTACCGATGTTACCCTGCATCTTTTATTGACAAGGTTAGAATACTTTCCTCAGTATCTATGAGTTTAATATTGTTTACTACTTATTTACTGTAGCAATTACTCAGAATAGCCATGTGGGCCTCAAAAATTTTCCTTAATCCATGGGAGGGCCAACACTTCAAAATTATGTCATCTTAGTCTAAGCTCTGAACAAAATCCATGCTATCCTGTGTACAGCTATAAATGAGCTTTACCAGTCTTTGATAGTGCAGAGCTTTGTGATTACTCCGGCATACTGTCATTTTTTAATCTGCTATAAGGAAATTTTATATTCCTGGCATCTTCTTCTGTTGCACCTGCCTGTTGGACTTCTAAGTTTTTCTCAACTCATTAGTGGCTTGTGGAGAAAATTCCACATTGTTTATGCCTTCCTTCCGTCCTCCTCCCTCCCCAAATTAGAAAAAGAAAAAAACGTATAATGCATGAGGGGAAGGGAGATTGAAGCTTCTTTTATAGCCATTTGTTTGTAAAATAACTGTAAATTTCCCAAATATTCTAATTATATCCTGTCTTTCCAATCCTGCAGCCACAGATTGAAAATGGTGATAAAAGTGAGTCATCAATCTTATTTGACTGTTCCTTTTTCNATTCTAATTATATCCTGTCTTTCCAATCCTGCAGCCACAGATTGAAAATGGTGATAAAAGTGAGTCATCAATCTTATTTGACTGTTCCTTTTTCTTTCTTTCGCTTTTTGGATTGTGATTGCCTGATTTTGTGTTATACGTGTTCTTTCAGTTATAATGCCTCCATCAGCCCTTGACCGTCTTGGTTAGTTAATTTCTTTTAATTGTCAGTCATTGCATATTTTTGGAGATGTTGCACTCGTCCCCCTTTCCTCTCACCTAAAAAAATAAAAACAATAAAACCCCTTCTCTTTATATTTTGATGCAATCCCAAGATCAAACATGATCCTGCAGCATCTCTGCACATTGATTATCCAATGCTGTTTGAGCTTCGCAACGCTGCTGCTGAGCGGGCTTCGCATTGTGGAGTTCTGGAGTTCATTGCAGAAGAAGGCATGATATATATGCCATATTGGGTAAGCATCCAATAGAATTTGTATTTACTTCTGGTTCTTTAGATCAGTTCAACTGTGGGGTGCTAGAACGTCTTCTTGGCTTTTGCCCAATCATTTTACTTTGAGCTTTCTTGTAGATGATGGAGAATCTGCTTTTACAAGAAGGGGACATTGTGCGAGTTAAAAATGTGACTCTTCCAAAGGGTACATATGTGAAGCTGCAACCCCACACAAAGGACTTCTTAGATATTTCCAACCCAAAAGCCATGTGAGTAGAACTAAGTTAATCCATAGGGACCTTGTTGAATCTGTAAATGTATGTTCTGTCATGTCAAGCTGTTAAGGTTCTTTCTCAAAATTAGGCCCGATCATATTTTTTAACAATGGGCAGTTTTAAGTACCTGATACCATAGAGAAAAATTGACAGTTTTAGTTGTTGACTTGAGCTACCATAAGATGGAGATCTGTTGAGTATTTTTCATTTTCACCTTAAGACCAGATCTGAATACCATCAATTTGAGCCTTCCAAAATTNGAGCTACCATAAGATGGAGATCTGTTGAGTATTTTTCATTTTCACCTTAAGACCAGATCTGAATACCATCAATTTGAGCCTTCCAAAATTGCAAATCATAGAGGCCTTAGTTTTTGACCGTAGAGTGCAATTTTGCTTGATTTGTGATCGTACTTATCTGAACATGGACTTGAATTACATGGTTTTAAACAATGGGGAATCTGTGTTCTACCAGCGTTGCAGAGCATATAGATTTCAAGAGGACATACAGTAACTTCAGTAAAAGAGCTGTTACCTAATAGTGGTTGCATTCTCAAACTTCTTGTTTGCATTCTCTAACTTGTTGGTTGCATTAATAAAAGTTGGTGAATTTAGATCAATCAGTTAGACCATAATTAACCTGCCAGTTGGATATCTCTCTTAAGGACAATAAAGGAGTGTGACGGAGAGGTTCTCATTGGGATGATGGAATTATCACCTATTGATCTGCTGGTATCAGTTTTGTGTACATCTCCCACATTATTTTACTAGTTGAGACTGTGATTTGTGTGATGCTTGATGAGTTGCTCTTGGCATACTTAACGAGAAGGGAAAAAAGTGGCTCCTGATATTTTCCTTACTTAGAAACTCAAAGGAAGGTTATGGAAAATTATTTTTACTACTTCGTATTCTGTCTGCTGAACTTGTACAAGGGAATGCCAATCTACTGCACAGATGGACTTGGTTAACACCATACCTGTCTTCATCAAAAAATAATGTTCATGGATTTTCTTGTTAATTCCAGGTTAGGTGTGGATTTGGAGTGGCCGATGTGGGTAAAGCTTGGGGTGTGGTAGTGAGATCATTGATGGATTTTCGTTTGGTACAACAAAGGTGAATTCAGACTAGTAGGAGATTTTTTTTTTTTT